TAATTCATGTTAATCTTTGACGCATTCTCTTTCTATTGATACCATCCACCGGTCTGAGAAGTGCTGCCTGGTTGCGTAAGGGCCGATAAAAGATCACGCTTTTAGGGGTATCTCTTCAACATGGGGCAGGAGCAATAAATAGAGCGCTCTAATTTTAGCTTATTTCCCTGGTATGTCACCGACTGAGATAACGACGCCGGCCAAGAGGTGCGCCGTCCGAAGGCTCCAGTTGAGCTGGGCGCAGGTACTAAATAGCATCAAAGGAAATCCTATATTCATCTCGCCGCATTTAAGCGCAACAATCGAAAGACGACAGCGTGACCGCGCTGACAGGCAATCAACCTGGCCACATAAAACTAGCTAGTGCAAGGAAGATGTCTATATAAACCACTGGACCATGCAAGGCGTTCATGTAAATAAAATACGAGTAAAGATGACGCGTTTGAGGGCAGACTGGCCAAACAGTGACGTTACACGCGGATCTCAACACTGCACAACCCATTCATCAAAAAAGATCTCGTGGATCCCTACAGTGGCGTAGCTAGAGATCAGCGAAAGGGGGGGCCATGGTGCTCGAGGGGGCGACTTTTTCCCTTGAGAGGGGCGCCATTGTCAGCTAGTGACAGGGGTGTCAGGCTAAAATGTAACGTCATGTTCATGCATGATTTACTAGGTGTTGCAAAACCTACATAAGAACCAGCTTTCGCTGATTTTTATTAAGTCCAATTACTGCAATTTGCAGCCTGCTGTTTTTCTTTTATCAAAAAACCTTGATCTAGATGAACTTTTAGCATGATATAGGAAACGAGCTCAGGCTACGGACATTTTATTCTCAAAATACGCATCCATGCAAATTCGAAACGGTAAAATAACTATACGTTGATCGATAGGCAGAATCTTTATTCTTTGCAAAAAAAGAAAAATATACGGGCTCACTCACTGATCCGAAGTGACCTGTGGGCTGCAGCCTGTGGTCGACCGGGGTTGCCGTGTTTAGAATATCAGAGCGCACGCATGTAGGATACACGCTGCGACTTATTGCCTAAATTGAAATCAAGGAAAGGCTTGAACATTTAAGACCATGAGATCCACCATGAGATCCCAACTCATTGTCATACCAGCAGCGACTGCAGTCAGAGGCGACCGAACGCTGACATACGTTCTGGATTTTTTCTCCACACATCCCCTTTACAATTCGATGTCTAGTGCGTGCAGCCCCTATTTGTGGACATGCATGACTGCCTCCATTGACTGACTGCCACTAGCCTCCAGAGGGAAACAACTCCAAAAATAACAGTTTTTATTAAAATCGTTTTCCGCAATAGCTTTTGACTCAAAACAGTGACGACATTTATTTTGCCAGCATCGTATTCCCCTCGTCGAAACGCGTCGAAGGAACTATACGTTGACCTTCAAAGGTCATTTTGAAAATTTGACCTCAGGTCAAGGTCATGACCTTGACGGACAGGGTCATGCTGCATATCACTCGATCCGTATCGTCGAGCTGAACACATCTGACGTGTTTTCACCGCTTTAGCACGTCTCTATCAAAAGGTATAGCCAAAGAAATGCTGGTGACCGTTCATGACCTGAGATGACCTCAGGGGCACACATAAGGGTCACAGGTGCATTTTGTCGATTCAGTGTGTTATGTTAACCTATGTACCGATGTTTGAGAGGGTTTTGAACCACATTTGTCCAAAAGAGGCGCATTTCAATTTTCTCCAATTGACTTATACCTAATGGAGAAGTCGCAAAATTGACCTGACCTTAGGTCATGGATATCAAATGTCCGAGATAAACATTTTATACATATTGTTAGTCTTATCAATCTCTGAAAGTTTCAAAAGTGATCGTTCCGTCGGTGTGGCGTACGATGGGGCGGCACCGCACTGCTAGGCGGGGGCGGCATCACAATAATGGGCGGCAATGCGCTGGGGGCAGCACTTGCATTGAGGGGTTGCATTGTACGGTGAATGGGCGGCGTCGCATTGAGGGGCGGTATCGCAACGAGGGGTGGCACTAACGAGGCTGCCTTATAAGAAACGCTTGGCACATCCTAGCCCAGCTCGGCGCCGCCTGGCTGCTGCATCTTGAAAAGGGTCCTTGGTGTCGATGAGACAGCCCCATTGTCAAATAATTACCTACCTAGCGTCAGTGGTTTCGGGGGGGGGGGGGGGGGGGCGCTATCGATATTGAATGGGGCGGGGCGACTGAAGTCTCCATTCAGATGGGCGTCAGTGACTACTGGAGGGCGCCAACGAACTCGGATAGGGCGAATGTGATCTTCAGAAGGGCACCGGGTGATCTAGAGGGGTGTACCTAATGCTTAGATGGGTTCACTGCTGCCTTCAGTAGGGCGTCGGACGCTCTGAAGGGCGCCATTGATCTCGGATGATTCGACTGTTATTTTCAGAGGTGCACCAGTGGTTTCAGAGGGGCGCCATTGATTTAGGATGGGGCGACTGAAGTCCCGGTTCAGGTGGGCGCCAGTGGCTGTTGAGGGGCGCCAGCGACCTTGGATTGATGGGGCGACTGTGATCTTTAGAGGGGCGTTGAGGGGCGCCATTGGGCATGGATGGGGCCGCTGTTGCCTTCAGCAGGGCGCCGGACGCTCTAGAGGGCGCCTTGAAATTGGGTGGGGGGACTGTATTCTCAAGGGGCGTTGTCTCGGATGAGGCGAATAAACTCTAGAAGGGCGCCATTGGTTTCAGAGGGTTGCCACCGATCTTAAGATGGGGCAGCTGTGATCTCCGTTTAGATGGGCGCCAGTGACTTTTGAGGGGCGCCAGCGACCTCGGATGAGGACGACTGTGATCTTCAGAAGCGCACCGGACGCTCTGGAGGGGCGTCATTGGGCTTGAATGGGGCGACTTTAGTCTCAAGCGGGACGACTTCAGTCTCAAGGGGGGCGCTAGTGGCTCTCTTGAGGGCGCTATTGATCTCGGATAGAGCGACTGTGATCTTGAGAAGAATGCGGGTCTTCCGGAGGGGCGCCCTTAAACATTGGGGGCTCAGGTCCTATTTGGGGGTGCCCAGGAGAACATTGGGGTGTCCAGGCACCCCTTAAGAGATATTGAGTTCGATCCCTGCCTGCATATCGCTTTTTAATTCATGTTCCCTCTGTAAAACGGCATCAGCCTAGTCGGCGCTAAGTGGGGCGCCATCTGGGCGGCTGGGCGGAAAGGGGGGGCCATGGCCCCCATGGCCCCCCCTGTCTACGCCACTGGATCCCTATATACGTCATAACTGGCCCTAGTACGGGGGTATATAGCCATGGACGTAAATGGCCGGCTTAACCCGCGAGTTGCTGGGGGGGGGGGCGTTAAACGCCCCCACTTTTTTCGCCGGGCCATAGCATAAAAACGGCGCGCCGCAGGCGCGCCAAATTTTGGATACCTGTAGGGAATTGATTGAAGTTTATTGTGACAAAGTTTCAAAAAAATCGGTCGGAAAATTTTTGAGATATCGAGGTTTCAGTGACGTCATGATTTCTGAGTTTTCGACCAAAAACGGCATATGTTCAAAAAATCATATAAAATCACAGAATAGACATACAGACATGTCGTAAACGCCATTAGACTGCCAATACCATGAACAATCAAATGGCTATCTTCGATTATTGATTATCGTTCCGCATTTTCCAAAATCTTGAACTGAATCTTGGCAATTTCTCGTGACTACTTCACGACCATGATACATGTATTTCTTAAATTGAGGTTTTTGAGCCAGACACGTACACATATGATAAAATGAATGTGACCATCGTGTTCTACGCCCCAAATTACCCATAAAACATGTGTCACAGGCTGCGAATATCAGTTTTGATTTTCGGGGATATGTGCCTACCTGGTTGACCTGACCTTGACCCTGATCTATGCTTGATTGACCCCTACATGGAGGTGACACTCTTGTAGGCCTTATATGATGGATTGTGCAGCGTTTTAATAGACTTTATGACGAGAGGCGCCCATTGCGAAGTCCTGAAATCCATGCTACTGAAAGCCCGATTTCAGGTGTTTGACCTGACCTTGACCCGACCTGTGACCTCAAAATTCAACTTTAAAGTACTCATCTGAAGCGTCTCGTCGCGTTCTTTCGTTTGCCGCCTCGTGCGTTTCGCTGCGCCTATTGGTTCTCGAGTTATCGGCTGGGGGCGTTTAACGCCCCCCCCCCCCCCCCCAGCAAACGGTGGGTGGCGAAATACCCCAGCAACTGCCGGGTTAAGGCACAGGATCCCAATTGTCATCCCCATTACGTGGTCCCCAGAAGTCGCCAGGCCGAGAGCCAATGGCAGTTAAGCACATCTTACACGTGCCGACAAACGTGACACAATGAATCCAATAATGAGTCCGCCAATAAGCCTGGCTAATTCTGCATGTAGGCTGCTATTTACCACCACGGCGGAAGGCTAAAACGCATCCATACAGCTCAACATAGGTGTCAATTTCCGCCGGGTTGGGGGTGCTCAAGCTGTCTAAATTCCCCGCCGGCTCGGCTGGCTTGGCTTTGGAGCCCCAACAGACGGTGCGGGTCAAGGTCACCGCTAAGGCGGCGGCGGATTTGCTGCGCCCGGGCAGTGGGCACTGGGCACCCTCAATTCGGTGAAAATCGACACCCATGCAGCTCAACATGACAAAACGCTGCATACAAGCGCACGTCCTCGCATTTAATTGACGCATTTAACTGCGTCACTAACCTTGTACACTGTACACAACACTGGTGAGATGACTGTCCGAAGGAAACTGCCGACTTTGGCTGGCAACATTCAGGGTTGGTGACTTATGTACTGAGTTCGGCTGGCTGACAGCGATGTGACTTCGGGACCGGTTGATGAACGGGCCATCCTAGCCCCATACTACAGGAGCCCAGCTGGTCTTGGCGAGCGGCGGCGACTGGACGAGGCTGGACCCCTACTACAGGAGCCCAGCTGGTGCTGACGAGCGGCGGTTACTGGACGAACGGGTCAGCCTGGACCCCTATTGCAGGAGTCCGGCTGGTCTTGGCGAGCGGGGACGACTGGACGAGGCTGGACTCCTACTGCAGGAGTCGAGCTGGTCCTGTCGAGGAAATAGTTCACCTTTAACATGGGATTTTAAACTGAGATAGCAGTCTGATAGAGCAGATTTGCATATGCCTTATATTTGAACCGTTTGAGATATTCACCTTTTATCAGTGAATATTGGTGCTTAAATTCATGTTCTACCTAGTGCTCATTTACAGCTAGCAGAAACCTCTTCAACACACAGTGGCCAATCAGCGATGAGAGCACTTACAGGAGCAGAATCCCTTGCAGCTGATAGGTTGTTCATCTGTTCGTGTTCATAACTTTAATCATTAAAATAATGAAATCCTTTTAGAAGAAGTATGTAATTCCAAGTCAGAATGCATTTAAATTTTATTCATCACATTTTTAACACATCTTTTTAAATTTTATTCATCAATATGAAATATTTGTCAATATAAATATTATCAATATGAATATTTTGTAACAAAACAAAATATTCATCAAATTATTCACAGAAGGTGAACAATTTCTTTAAACACTTACCTTGCTTCAATGGTGACATGTAGTTCTTGCAGCAGAGAAGGCACAGCATTTGGCTGCAACTTCAAATATTTACTTGCTGCTATCAATTATTCAGTCTTGAAATGCATACAGGTACAGCGAATCTTGGGTTCTCCTGTAAGAATGCCGACGTCACCGCAGAAGTTCATCCAGAGCTTGCGCCTGAAAAAAGGGGCCAGGTTTAATATTTGAGTGAAATGAAGACTTTTGAATCATTTTATCATTATACCATCATCACATTTTTGCCTAATTTGTAAGAAATAGGTTTAGGTTAGCAGAAATAGGTAAGGTTTTGACTAGACCCCCTGGGTCACAACAGGAGATGACACCAGTGATTGGTGGGACCACCAGGCACCAGCACTGGCACAATCCGTTCTGACCACCGCACACCTATCAGCCCGAGAGCACACTAAATTGCATGTTAAAGCTCCATTAATACTTTTTTTTTCAATTTTGGCCATCAATTTTGTTGGGTCCATCATGTCCATCACCAAGCCACATTTGATATGCACTACACTACATACCCCACCACCTGACCACACCAGGCCAAATCCGCACCGCGCTACACAAAATCCGCACTGCACCAAGCTAAATCCATGCCACACCAAAGCCTCACCAGCCGGACAAGCCAGCACAGACGAGATCTTGTCGAAATTGCCATGCTTTGCAGAGTGCATACTGGCCTACCTGAACCTGACCTTACCCAACATATGAGCCTGACTGTCCTAAGCACTGGGAGCTCATTGAGACCAAGCCCCACAGGCCTAGTGGCCTCCTAAAACCTGATTTCCATATGGTAAGGTGAGCTATTTAAGAATGGTGATCGGATATCGAACGCGAGACAAGACAGCAATGGGCAGTGGGCGGTTCATGCAACAATAATCATGTTTCCTTACCACAAGTATCAAAGCCAAAGCAAAAATGGCTACCTATCGAATTCAAATTTCACTGGAACCTCACCTGCATGGATCTTAAGTGAAAGGTATCTACATCTTGATACATCTTGATCTGCACGAAAGATACATCTTGATCCACTCATCTCAATCTTGTTTTTCTGCATCCACACTGAAAGCAAATCTGACCGGCTTTTGTTAGTAACAGTAAAGTGGGCCTAGAATGACTACCCTTTTACCAACCATTTACCATCACGGTACTATGCTCTTACTATCCCAGTACCATGTTTACTATCCCAGTACCACGTTCATACTATCCCAATACTATCCCAGTGCAAGGTTTTTACTATCCTAGTACCACGTCTTTACTATCCCAGTGCCACGGTATCACGTCTTTACTATCCCAGTACTACGCTCATACCACCCCAGTACCAGGTTCGTACTATCCCAGTACCACGTCTTTACAATCCTAGTACTGCGCCAATACTACCCCAGTACCAGGTTCATACTATCCCAGTACCACTTTCGTACTATCCCAGTACCAAGTTTATACTATCCCAGTACCACGTTTATACTATCCCATTACCACGTTTATACTATCCCATTACCACGTTTATACTATCCCTATACCACGTTGGTTCTATCCCAGTACCTCGTCTTTACTATCCCAGTACCTTTTTTTTTTGAATTTTGCTCCCAACAGGCCGAGGCCCTGGTCGGGGTAGGGGGAAGTTACTAGCTGGCAATTAGCCAGATCTTCCGTTTTACTTTACTTTAATGCCGGCTATGTTATTCCGGCCCAAGGCAATATCAAGAGCAAAGTTTACGTTAGACCGGCTCATGTGACGTCCGGTGGGAGCAAGTGCAAGGGAAAGCCAGAAAGGGTGCCAGAGTGGCAGTGCCGAGAGGGATTTTGAGTCTTACATTTCTTGCTGCTGAATCTTGATGCTGAAATGTGGTAGTGTTGTAATGTGTGCTGTTGTTGTGTTGTGAGTTCCACCAGGAAAGTCCTAACTAGAAAAACCTGGTGCCTATCTTAGAGGGCAAAACCTGTGCGCTTTTGCCAAATTGCACAGGAAAAATCCCTTTGCTTTGATATTACGTTACGTTATATCGCTAATGTGTAAGTGTGTTTGTGGAGCTATCGCCTTCATCCACTCCCGGGGGCCATGGATGCAAGCCACCTAGGCCACGCCCGGGGTGTCCGGCCAGATAGCTTCGGTGTCTCGAGTGGGCCTCAACCTTTAAGAGGGATCCCTGTCGAGAACCGCGAGAGGGATGGGCAGGTGCCGATTGCCGCCGCCGCCGCCGGAGGGACGCAAACGCGCGCGCTCGCAAACATAGACGAAATCACGGCGCAACAAGAACAATGGAAACAAAAACAATTACGATGAAACCACGAGAAACCAAGAAAAACCAAGAGAAAATCATGTGTCCAAGGAGTTGGGGGAGGAGCCCACCGCCGCGTGCCAATGGTCCCCGCGGCGGCGGCTGGTGCCCGTAAGCTCGGGGCTCCTACAAAGCCCCCACCAAGTGCTGACGGGTATGATTAGAGAACTGACGTTTCAGTGCGGACTCCAGTGACGTAGCAATCCATTAAACGGGTCGTTGCGGACGGCATAGTGCCGACACCTCTTTCTCCAAGCAGATGGGGGGCAGAGGAGCCCGCCGCCGCGTGTCAATGGTCCCCGCGGCGGCGGCTGGTGCCCGTAAGCTCGGGGCTCCTTAATTGACATGGCCAGTATCCAGGAAATCAAAAAGATTGAGTCCCGCGCCCAGAACCGCTATCGACGGCTTGCCGACCACGGAACTGAGCGCGAGACTGTGCTATATGGATCGGTCTAGCCTGGAATTCTTCAGGAAAGAGAAAAGCAAGTCGAGTAGATCCGGGTGAGAATCGCCGAGGAGAGTAGGAATTGAAAGTGCAAGTTGGTTGTGGGTGGTATATTGGATTATAGGTTGCCTCTCTGCTTGATATTGGGGACAGTGGATCAAGAAGTGTTCAATTGTGTATCTTATGTTACAACGTTGGCAGATTGGAGGGGGGCCTTGATCAAAGATATATTCATGTGTCAATTTAGTATGTCCGATTCTAAGTCTGGCTATAATTACTTCTTTAAGCCGGGTATTTTGATAAGCAGTCGACCAGTGTCCGATAATTGGTTTGATTGGGTGAAAGTAGTAATGTGGATTTACGTCCCATTCAAACTGGACATACTTTTTGTAGGACGCGTAAATGACATTAAGATAATCTGATACCGGGCATGGGAGGGAGTTATTGGGGGGATCACGGAGGCTGGCTTTGGCCGCTTTGTCCGCGCGCTCATTCCCCACAATATTCGCGTGACCGGGTATCCAGATTATCTTAACTTCTCTGTTTTGGTCGGTGATTTGATTAATTTGTCTTTTAATGTCTCGCGTGATTGGGTGCGAATCATTATGGGCCGCTGCGATTGATTGCACTGCTGCCTTGGAATCAGTACAAATCATTAGTTGTCTATCAGGTTTGTTGATTACGTGTCGAAGCGCTGCACTGATCGCGTAGAGTTCGGCCGAAAAGATGGAGTGGTTATCGGAGAGGCGGGTGGATTGTGCGAATCCTTTTATATAGAAGGCGGCTCCGGTCTTGTTGTCCGCCCGAGAGCCGTCTGTGTATATAAAAGTATGGTCTTTATGGTCGTTTTGGAATTCGAGGAAAAGTTGTTTCATTTCATCAGTGTTCATGTCTTTTTTGTTGTCATCGAAGAGGATGAGGGTTTGGATGGGGTGCCTAGTCCAGTACGGGCTCAGTGGAGGGTTATCTAGAACCTTTGGAGTTTCTATTTTATAGTCCCTAAGTATGTTTTTAAGGTGTCTTCTTATTGTTTGGTACTTGTATTCTCTATGTGTTATTATGTTATTTTCTGGTAGGTTACTGAGTATAGCGTATGGTATTGTATCTTTTCTTGCCATTACTTTCGTGTAATACCTTATAAGCTGGTATTCTCTTCTTCTTTCCAAAGGAGGAATGTTTGAATCAACACGGAGATTCGATGAAGGCGAAGTGCGGAGTGCGCCAGAAATAATGCGAAGAGCGGAATTCTGGATACTCTCGACCTTGTTACTGAGAGTAGTGGATATATTTGTTAGTAAAAAGGCATTATAATCCAAGATGGATCGAATCAGAGATGTATATAGAAGTGTCAGTGTTTTTCTGTCGGCGCCCCAGTGTGTACCAGAGATACATTTCATGATGTTGAGGCGCCGGGTGCACCTTCCTGTGATGTCTGCTATGTGTTGTGTGAAAGTGAGTCCCCTGTCCAGTGTGATGCCTAGATATTTAAAGGTATTTGTTTGCGGAATCTCAACCCGGCCCAAACGGAGCGGGCGTGGAGGTGTGGGGTGTCTGCGTTGTTTGGAAAAGGTTAGTGTGGCTGACTTGTGGGGAGCAATTTGCATTCCCCACTTGTCACACCATTTGTTTACGTGGTTTAGTACCGTTTGAAGTTTTTGGTATGCCGCATTCACATTGTGGTGCGACGTCCAGACCGCCAAATCGTCCGCGTACATGGAATAGTGTACGTTATGTGTTACATTGTGTATGTTGTCAAAGATGTCATTTATATATATAAGGAAGAGCGTCGGGGAGAGAGGACTTCCCTGAGGGACTCCGTGATCGAGGTTATGTAGGGTTGAGTAGGTGTTGCATACTCTGACCTTGAAAGTGCGGTTATTAAGAAAATTACTTATGAAATTGGCCATTCGGCCGCGTATTCCCATGTTATGTGTTTTTATAAGTATAGCTTTGTGATGTACTTTGTCGAAGGCTGCTTTCAGATCGAGGAAGAGTGCAGCTGTAACTTTATTATGGAAAAACCCCTGTTGTATCGTGTCAATAATGTGTATCAAGTTGTCAGCTGTGGAGCGTGCTGGTCGAAATCCGTTTTGGTGTTGTGAAAGCTTGTGTTGTGATTCTAGGTACACTCTGATTCGATTGTTGACCATTCTCTCGACGATTTTAGAGGCACAGCTCGACCATGAAATTGGTCTGTAACTAGCTGGATCGGTGCTATGTTTGTCTTTTTTGAGAATGGGGATGATTATACTTTCTCTCCAGGAGTCCGGAAAGTGGCCTTCAACCCATAGCTGGTTAATGACCTTGAGAAAGTGTTCAAGGCCAAAGGGGGTTAGTTTTCTGAAGAACATGTAGGGCAGTTTGTCCGGGCCTACCGAAGTATTCCCACACTTTACGATTGCATGTTGTAGTTCATATAGGGTGAATAGGTGATTGTAATGTTCTGTGTTGTCGGATTGGAACGTGAGTGTTGATAGGGTGGTGCTGAGGTTGTTGTGTAGAGTGTCTGAGTAGTTGTTGTTTGAGGATATGTTTGCATAATGGGCTGCAAATTGTGTGGCAACTGCTTGTGGGTCTGTTGTGAGTGTGTTCTGTATAATCAGTGACGGAACTTTATATATCTTTGGTTTATTAATGCGGAAACATCTAAGATGTTCCCAAACTTTAGTAATGGGTGTGAAACGGTTGAATTTGTTCGAAAAGCTTTCCCAAGACTCTTTTTTGGCTGCGTTGATGACGTCTTTTGCGTTCCTGATTTCGTTCCTGAGCTGAATTTCATGAGCAACACAGGGGCAGGCCCTACATTTTCGTAGGGCTCTGCGGCGCCTCGCGACTGCTTTTTGACAGTTTTCCGTCCACCACGGGGCGTGTTTGTAACCCTGTCTTTGCTTTGTCAATGGGACAGAACGTTCAGCTGCTTCGCCTATTATCTGAAGGAAACTTTCTATGTTTACTGTATCGTTGTCATTTACGTTATTGTTTGTATTGTCGTTAAAGTTAAGAATGTCAAGTTGTTCATCTATGTCGTCCTGGAATGTCGTCCAGTCCGCTTTGTTAAAGTTCCATTTCGGGAGGTATGTATTTATGGTTGACCTTGAAGAGGATTCAACTGTTATATGCATAGGATAATGATCACTAAAGTATTGGTCGATTTGCACTTTTGGGGTAAAAAGCAAACTGATTCGTCCATACTATCCCAGTACCACGTTACACACGCGTTTCAGAAAGGTCGACTGATTTTTATTGGATGACGTTTCACGAAGAGCAATGGTTTTCCGCGGCGACTGCTGACTCGACGCTGCACAGTGCAGCGAGAACACCTACATACGCGCACGTACACACGCCGCACTAATCGATGTACATCCCACCGTCGCTTGGAAAAAAAACATCAGAAACATACGAACTACAATCGAGGAACGAGGCACTTCTGAACCCCTGACGCTTAAATCGCCTGCGTGCGCGCGCATGGCTCAGGGAGGGGAGAGAGGGAGGGAGGGGAGGGGAGGGAGGGGAGCGCGCAGGGAGGGGAGAGAGAGGGAGATGGGGGAGGGAGATAGGGGACAGAAAGAGAGAGAGGGAGAGAGAGAGGGAGAGAGGGAGAGAGGGAATGAGGGAGAGGGAGAGGGAGAGGGAGAAGGAGAGAGGGAGAGGGAGAGGGAGAGAGAGAGAGTCTCTCTCCACCCTCTCTTCCAACTTAGGGTAAGAGGTTTAGCAGCGAGCCAAAGTAGAAAGGTCGTTTTATTCAAAACGTGCCGTCATTGTTAAGGATATGTGGAAGCCGTCGTTGAAGCCACGAACATGTCTGGATGTCAGTTGGTAACACCTATCCATATGCATATCACCAGCAAAACAAAGATGGAACTTTGCAAGTTACAGGCGTCGACATGCTACGGAAGGTCATTCGCGAAAAAAAAAAACTTTTTTAGAATGACAAGTCATTCGTTCGCGAGTTATTAGCGCAAAACCGGGGGGGGGGTGCAACCCCCTACACTGGCGGGGGTTTAGTTAGCAAATGTACACATACCGCGTCTGCATTCCGTTTGGGCCATGATGCCCGCTAGTCACGTTTTCAGACCTTCGCTGAACTTCTCCCTCAGGCCAACTTGTCCTGACAGCAGCAGCTCCATCTCCTTCCAGAGCTGTGGAGAACACATTCGTCATGTTGAGAGGGATACATAAAGCATGATTAGACCAGTTAAAAATAACAGACTTTTAGCAGGTTTTCCCCCGGTACCTTCCCATTGGTTTGAAGAACACTGGCCGCAGTAGATAACTAGTAAATAACGCCGTACCGAGCCAAGCTGAACCGAGCCTCGAGCCAGCCTGAGTGAAGCCGAGCTTCGAGCCAATTAGTAACAGGATCTCTTCTATTCTATTATCTATTAACCAGGATATAGACAGATCTATTCAGGCTTTTGACGCTTCAGTAAAAGCTCGGCACTTTTTTGGTGCCTGACTCGGATTTTCTACACTGCACTGTAGGCCCAAACTTTCTCATCATGGAGCATGACTCTGCTCCTCGATAGTATGCAGTTACATTTACTACTACACAAGCAATTCAGTGTTGGTTAGCAGATGAATTTACATACCTCCTCTGCACCAAACATGAACGGGAACCTTTTCTTGAGGCTTGTGATATTCTGGGGATTCTTTCCGGGTCCTCCCAGAATTTCGGAACGCCTCGCCGGCAGCGTCTCCTTCACGAGGGCGGCGCGCTGATCCCTGTCGACGTCGCCATGTCGGGGCATGTTGAGTTTTCTCTCCGATAGTAACCAGATCATCGACGACCACTGGATAGTAGTTGGGCAGTCCTGGAAACGGTTTGAGATCTCTGAGACTACTTCGAGTAGATGGATGGAGAATACGCCTCCAAATGGATGTAGAATGTGCTTACGATGGCATTGATGTTTTAACTCGTTCCGTTAGGTCTTCAATAACATAGTTAAGTGTATTTATTTTATGTTAGAGCTCATTTTGACGTAATGGCTAAAGTCAATCTTCAAAATAATTTATTTTATTGGACCAAAACGCGTTTCGTTTATTGCTTCATCAGTTGGTCCAACAGGTCAAAATATTGTAATTTGTAATTTGTTTGCAATTTTGCAATTTTGTAATTTGTATTTTGACCTGTTGGACCAACTGATGAAGCAATAAACGAAACGCGTTTTGGTCCAATAAAATAAATTATTTTGAATGATTGACTTTACCCGTATTTATTTTAGTTAACTTAGTTTCAAACAATGGGCCAGAGAGACCTTGCGACTGATAGTCCTAATATCAAACACATTCAACCATAGATGGAGGATCATGTCCTGAAGTTGGTATGGCCATGCCTAATCTGTCTTGTTGTTGGTGTGACCATCAATGATGGTAGCACACAATATTGGTGTGGCAGTTGGCACTGACAAAGTTTGTGTGGCAACTGCCACACTGGCCATATGGCGTTCTCCACCCATGCATTCAACCCTTGGCGTAGGGAGTTAGGGACTGGGGTGGTCAGGATTAGAGTTGCAAAATTTCTCTACCGCACTACCGGCATGCCGGTAATTTTTCACTACCGCAGGTTTTTTCGTGGTATCTGGCATCTCTTGCCTGTAGCATGCCGGTATTTTTTATTTTGCACACAAAAAAATTATCAGCATATGATTCAAACTTTGGACACTAAGAGGCTATTGAATTGTAATAACAGCAATCTTAGCCACTGCAAAATACATTTTGTGGTAGAAGTTCCATTGCTAAGGGCAGGGGTAACACATGAACCTCAGCATTTCACAGGTTTGGCTCTAATTAGAATTGTCAAGAATCTACTGTGGTCTATCAAAGGGAGACAAAGAATACTCATTCATGTTGCAAAAGCACAACCAATTAGTAAGTCTACTGGTAGGTAATAGGCATAATACAATAACTAAAATAAATAAATGTTCATGGCAACATTCCCTAGGCAAAAGGCAGAATAAAAAAAACTCAAAACACATTGTTTGGAAACTGGCCTTGAGTCCTGAGATGTGGTCTGAGATACTCTACAAAGAATTTGACACTGAAAATCCAGCTGAAAAGGCAGGTGTTAGGTAGCCCTGAGCCTAATATTGGTCCCAAAATGAAATGAAAATGAATTAAACTGGCATTTCGTCTTATCTTTACAAGAAAACACAACATGCAGACGAAATCAATACAAAAGTGGCGCAATGTGGCGCTAAGGCAACCAAGGATTGACTTTTAAGATCCTCTGTCCCCTAAAGAAAGGATTTAAGCTGATGACGTAATATGTATTCATATGCCCTTTTGGTTGAATCACTAAGGAAAAATCAATTTTCTTGTAGTGAATAACACTCACAGTGCTGATTTCATTGGAATTCAATATCGTGTTGGATGATTTTTATCAATAAAATCATTCACGAGGCAGAAGTTTGCAGTCCTAAAACCTTTTTTTGCAGTGTTTTAATCAGCTGGTTAGAAACTGTGTTATGGCGCATCTGTTTCGAAATCTGATAACCTTGTGTTTGTTGCCGCGTTTGAGATGGGGGAGGATATTTTATCGCTTTTATACATATTATTTGGTGACTTCTCAGGACAAGTGAGTTATTGACGCATATTTTTACATGATTCGTATCTTACTCATGAGCCAGCAAGCCATGGCGGATAGGATGGCCTTGGCGGATAGGAAAAAGCTGATGTTGATCTCGCTTCCTCAGTTAGGAACATGGCCGAATCTGTAGTTTTTTTATATTGTGTTTTGTGACTATCTATAGTTCAATATTTGGTTGGTACCTGCAACATTTTAGGAGAATGTGGAAAATAACAACGCTTGTGGTAAATGTGATTGCTGCTCACTGTGCAATCTTCAGAAACACATTTCAGTAATTCAAGTTCTTTTTGTCCTTGCTTTTTTGATGAATGTGTTAATGCTTTTTGTAGGCAATATCTTTTTGATTACAGGTGATATTTTAACATCTGTAGACTGGAATTGAGATTCAAAATTGTGGTATTTGTGGGGCGAACTCAGCCAACATCAGGCTGCTGTTAGTTTTGGTTGGACAATGGGTGGCTGCTGGGTGGGGCGGCTACTGAAATTGCCAAAATGTGGCATCTCATGTAGGGGTAAGCCAGAATCAAGAATGCAGGTTTTTTGGTATGCCGGTAATTTGGCGGTTTTTTTGCTTGGGGCGTGGTAGCATTAGCGTCGCCACGGGGGGGCAAGCGGGGCAGCTTGCCCCCCCAACCTCGGACCGGGCACCCCCTGAGATCGATACAGATCCGATGAGATTTTGGAGTCGGCGAAAAATGGGGGTACCTTTCTGAGAATGTCTGTGAGGTCAGACTCTGTTGGAGCGTGCAGTTCAAACCAAAGTCAGAGTCGCAGTCGCCAAAATCTTCAAGACTCCGACTCCAGACTCGGAAATGTCAATGCCATGATTCATGTCATGTTCCTAGTTGGTTCTGTATTACATTTTGTAGCTGATTTTCATAAATTTTGGAGTGCTGACACATAATTTTCGTTCAAAGCGTGACACGAAATCTTCGGGGCCTTTCTCAACTCTCGTCAAATGTCTGCGACAGGCACAAGTACCGTTCAAGTGCCGCAGGGCTCATGAGCCTGCTTTTTCACACAGGCTCCTAAGGAGCTCCACTGAGCTCTAAGAAACTTTCGGAGGGCCCAAACCGGCCTCTGAGAGTCTCACTGGTGTCCATGTTCTCTAGAGGGCCCATACAGGGATCTTTGAGGACATTATACATACATACGTAGACCTCTGAAGGGCCACACGAATCTTTGAGGATGCCTTCGAAAATTTCTGAAAACCTCAACTGGCCTATGATAGTTCAGCCGAACTTTTGAGGCGACAGACTTTACTAACCCCAACCCGGCATCTGAGGGGTCACAACTCACGTGTCCCTCTGAGGGCTGCAACACATGTTTCTTATGTCCCTACCAACGTAGGGTCCTTAAAGATTCGACACAGACCCCGACGGTTCACACTGTTATTCGAGGGCTCCAGGCTCACCCTGGGCCTAGTCTCTAAGCGCCCGCCGCCCACACTGGCTTCTGAAAGCTCGTGTGCCCTAAAGGGCTTTCCGGGCTCACCTTAGGCTCGGAAAGCCCTAAAGCACCACATACACGTAAATATTTGGGGTGACCCACGCCGATCTCCGGGGTCCTAAGCAGGCTTCTGAGAGTCCACACTGACCCTGAGTGGCCTGAAATGGCCTAGAAGTCGCAATCCTATCTCTAAGGGATCCCTTGCCGCTATGCCGTGCGTAACTTTTGGTTCCGTTAAATATTTTTGGTCGCGTTTGCAGCGCTTCCCTTCACTCGAAAAACCAGAAACTTTTTGTTCACACTCGAGTGAACAAACCACTTCTTCTCACTGCATCAAGGATGAATGATGTACTTCCGATTCACACTTCCGACATTCTCTCTCAGTCTCCGCCGAATGCCCAATTCTTAGCTACAATCGGCGGCTGGGATAAGCCCTATGCATTTCACGTAAAACCTCGGCATGCATGCGTGAATGGAGGTTTTAGCGAGGTGATCCGATTCAAATGGAGCGTTTTTCACCTTCATCTGGGTAATGATCATGAGCGACGAGAGTCTGCACAGGGGCCCTCTGCAGTGCGTCGGCAATCGCAGCCACTGTAATTCTAACGGTCGTTTTTGCCCAGAAATTTAAAAATTTTGATTTTTTTTTGTAAAAAAATACATGCTATAGCTAGAAGGAAAACTTTGTCACCATCGGATTCCTCGCACCATTGCGCGTCGAATGATATGTAAAACGAGTGAGTAATGGCTGGGGAAAGGCAAGGTTTAACACAAAACTTGATTTTGCCCCCCCCCCCCAACCGAAAATGTCTGGCGACGCCTATGCGTGGTAGCATGCCGGTATCCCAGAAAATTTTTGTGGGGCGGGGCGGTGCCGGTAGCAGCCCATTGGGAAAACTTTGCAACTCTAGTCAGGATGCCATGGCCACCACACTTTTCTGCCAACTTTGAAGTTTTTTTTTTTTTTGTTTGCTTCAAAGGTAAAACTAAGATCACCAAATGGTTCAGCAATGTGAAGAAAGTAAAAAAAAAAAAACGTTTATTTTTTTTCTGAGGGTGATGGGTCCAACAGTCATGTTAGTTTCTCAGGCTCCCTCACATTACCTACATTTTGTGGTGTTCCTACGCTTATGCATCCAACATAATATTTTGCTGAAATAAAACCATGACAGCATGCTGTACCAAATTAGTTCTGAAAAAATTGCACCACTTTAATTTCTCACCAAATTGGAATCCGACAGATTTCATTTGGGCACACTGTGGTGATTCTGTTCATGTGATTTTTTGTAACGGTGTTCCATAAATAGAAATGCTGAGGCAATTGTTCCAAATAGGGATACACTGTATTTCTATATTTAGAAACAAAAGGTGCATGCTCAACTGTTTGATGAATTTTGCAAGCTCTGGCTAAATTTTGCACATATATCTAGTTTCCAGCAGTAAAAAGCCAACATTTGAGTCTATATTCCATGGTTGGGTTCATGACAGATGATTTGATCTTGGGTTCGTGCAAAATGTGGAAGAAACCACAGCACGTTACACCATTTCCATTTATAAACATGCGTTCCCAAATACCTATACAAAGGTGATGGCGTTGAATTTTAAATGGTATTTACAATACAAAAATTTACAAAGCAGGTGAAAATTTGAGTTGAGTCCCAACCATATGTTGATGCCAGTTGTGGGCCGCCATCCTGACAGTTGCATTGTGCATGTACAATTAAGCTTGAAAATAGATACCTACCTATCCTGAAAGGTCAGTGACTCTATTTATGGAACAAGCATTACCATTTATGGAACAAAACATTTCATGTTCAGAAATGTTTCCAAAGAAAGAAACGCTTCTATATGTGGAACAGAATTACCAGTCACAGTGCGTCCAACTGATTTGCAACTCCAGCTTACACAGTACACACGACATACCTAACCTGGTATTGGTAGTGCAACAGTCTGCAAAACGTGGCAGGTTTCAGTTTCGACGAGATCTCGTCGGGGCAGATATCATGGATCGGGGCAGAAATTGGGGCAGGTTTGAGGAATGTTGGGGCAGAAACTGGAAAACCTGGGGCAGAAGTTGAAAAATTGGGACAGAAATGCTCAGCTTCACACCACCTCCCACATCAATATAACGTTAGATCATTCTCTCATTATGAGGGGCAGCAGTTGAGCTGCCCCGGGTCTCAGCATTCTGATTTGATTTGGGGCAGGACTTTGTCTGCTCCGAAAATCTCGTCGAGCTCCCTGCCACATTTTGCAGACTGGGTAGTGCAGGCGTCACCAAATTTTAACAATTCAATAACTCTTTAATTAATAAAAATAAATCAAAATATCACTAAAATAAAATTTAGAGAATCACAAATCCTACTTATTAATGTGGAGAAATAAAAAAATGGTCCACAAACACAGCAGATATGCCTTTTGGACAAATTTCATCACGCATACAAATGTTTTCGGATAAAACATTTTCCTAATTTTTCAATGATTTTTAGCTCGGAAAAGTCCTATAATATGTAGGTAACTTGTGGCTCTGAATAACTTAGAGCAAAATTTTCACTGTGCCTAGGTTTGGTTAGGTCAGGTCAGGCTTTAATTTAGTTTGGTGACACCCGCCCCACCCATACTACTCACCAGAGCTGGAGCTGCGTGATGAACCTTCAGAACAAAGATGCTCATACACAGTGCACAGCAAATTTTAAGTCCAACAACTTCTAAAATATCATATACAGCTTTCAACTCACCGCAAATGACGACTCTTCCCTCTCCCACTGCAACACACAACAACCGACGCAGCCCCGTAGCCCGCCGCGGGCGCCGCGGCTCGCGCGCGCTCGCTCTGCAACGGTTCGCACAGGTGGTTGTGTGGTGGTAACAAGTTGGCAGCATTGTCACCGCATGGTAGGAACTACCACGCTTGTACGATATTTCTACCACAATTTGTAATAGTTTTTGACATGGTATTTGGATGGTACTTGAACTTTATCATACTGTTACTATTTTTTTCAACAACCAATCGTAAAGCACTCGTAGCAGAATGGTGCGCCCTACTAAAACAATGGTAAAAGCGCATTTAGTACTAGGCTTTTACCAATGTTTGAAGCAAATAACGCTGGTAAGCAATTGATATTTATTCAATAATGGTATCGATGTAGTACATTTTGTTTTCAGTGCAGGGCATGCAACACTTCTGGTATTTTTGGCACAACTTACTCGACTGCTGAGCTCAAATGCAAATTGCAATCACGGTCTTAAAATACCTACTGAATATTGAATCGCAATGTATATTCAGTCGATGTACCGGTTTATATAGCCTTGGATGTACCCCTCGTTCGATGTCTCTCGGACGACGAAGATTGTTCGTCGTCCGGCGAATCCCGTTCTAGGTCAACGGGCTCGGCTGCGATTATGGAATGTGATTGGCCAAACGGTGTAGAATCTTTGTCGTCCGAGAGACATCGAACAAAAGTAATGTCGCTACTGCGCCATTTGTTGCATCGAATTCGCCCCATAGAAGCACGTGTTAATTCTCTCCCATAGGGCCCTGGGTAAACTCATGTAAACAACCTCCATAGGGTCCTGGGTAAACTCTCCCCTTGTCTATTTTCTTTAAACGGGAATGGTTTGGACAGAAAAATATTTCCCACCTCATAAAAAATAAAACTTAATTTTTGATGTACCTCATTGATGCAAAACATCAGAAAAACATAAGAAACTAAGTCAAAGAAACCGATTGTTTATAAAATGACAGCTGACAGCATGCCTCCCGTGTCCCCTGGCTTGAAGCTTCGGCTCCGTGTTACCTTAGTATTCTATGACCGTGGCTTAGACCAAATGTTTCAATCTCCCCCGCGTGAGCTTCTAACTTTTCTTTGGCTGCTTGAATGGCCTCCTCTACAGGTATGCTCCCATACAGATTTACTACATCTATACTGAAGAAGATGGACCCTGTCGGAAGTGACTGACTTTGACAGTGATCATTCATTCTTTTCAAAAAATCATTAGTGTCACAGAGATGAGTTGAAAAGCTGCTTTAATATTCTCTCGAGAAGGCAAGCTGTCTTTTCGGTAGACCCACCCGAGCCTGAAACTACTGGGCGCAATGGAACTTCGGGCTTATGGTCTTTAGGAAGGCCGTAAAAAACTGGAGTTCTGCTATGCATGGTAGAGTGTATCGATAACCGAAATTGGCAAGGAAACTGGCATATTATTTGGCGCAAGGACATAAAAATAATATCTGGGCGCAACATTTTCCTCAAAACTTAAAATTGACTGACCCGGAACGGTTTTTGTAAACCCCATTCCAACTGCTGCGGACGTAGGATGAAGCTTTAGTTCTCCCCTTTTGACGCTAGATGGCAGTGATTCCAGACTGTCTCTAACTTAATTTCAGACATCTGTAAACGTAAAAAAGCCATTCGGATTAAATTATGCACATTTTTTACATCATTGGTGTTGGTATATTGCCGTTTTTTTTTCCATTGCAAGTGTTTTTCCATTGCAAACGCATAGCTTTCCACACATTATCACACATAACACAATACACATTACCTATGCATTAGCGCCCTGAGCTCTTAAACACGAACAAGTAAGTAGCAGATTAGGCAACTATTAGCAACTGAGCTCCTGCCGCATCGTACTTTAAGGACTACATATAGCCGGTACAATTGTGTTACCAGCGACCAAATGTCAAAGTGGACACTGGTCAGGTGCTCGGTAACTGGTGACAGGTGAGCCAGTTTGCTTTCTGTCCTATCTTACGACTAATTCACCATCATCCTTGCTTGCACTTCTCCGTGTTCCGGATTAACGGTCCGCCTAGCAGACAACCGATGGAAGTCAGCTTCGGAGTGACCATTTCAACAAATGTATGCTCTAGTCTGTCCCGTTGTGACTTGCCGTCAAAACAGTATGTCCCGGCGCTGAAATGCCGTCCCAGCGGTACAGCGGACTGGTCGTCAGTGGTTGATTGAACCGATTGAGCCTTGGTTGATTGAACCTTACATTGCCCTCTCCCTCTCGTGTTTTATCATCCCAGCATAGCCTGACTCAGAGCATTGCAGCCATTATGGTGTCTTTTGACTGAGACGCTGCGGCACACAGCCGGTGCCCGATGGTCGACTTTATTCTGATATTGCTCTCTCCCCGCTAATTCATTTATTCATCATACCACGGCCCTAAAATGTTCTCGAATAGACTAACCCATAAGCTCTAACCAAGCATAACGAACAACTACCCACTTAGCAGTCTCCGAACGTCTGCTGTTAAAATTAGTAGCCAGTAGGTGAAACCGAAACCGACTAGTGGCCACGTCAAGCGGTCCCTCAGTGCCCCAAAGGTGGTCACTTTCGGGGTAGAACTTGTCACAACTCAGCCTATCCTACCGGACTGCCGTGGGCTCCTCTCTTACCGCGCGGCGAAGACGGTGAATATCGTGCGCTGGTAGTATTACATACAGCTCGCATCCCAAATAAACAGTTACTGCCGGCGAAGGCCCAACCATTCACCGCACTATGGTGCAGGTCCGGTGACTTTCCTGCCGCCCGTGTCACCGCGACCAACGGCGGCGACAGTGCCGTCACCGTCCCTCGAGACCCGGCGCGCGGCCAGCGAGTGATGCCGTCTGTATTTGTTTGTTTGTTTGTTTTGTTGGGTTAGGCTCTTTCGGTCCGACAAGACCATTTCAGAGCCGGAAGGATGATAGGAATTAGGGGGTGACATTGGTCTGGGCAGGCACCCTAGTGAGTCACCGGGGCTGATCCCGTCCAGAGAACAGGCCACCCATCCCCAAAGTACTCACTGCACCCGGCTACGGTGTGAGCTCCCTCGGGAGCCGCGGTGCCGCTCCAAGGGAGCAGCCCGCATGAGATAAAGTTGCCTGTCCAGCCCGGAGGGGGTTTCGGCGTGGAGGAGAAGAATTTCAGTATCCTGAGGATGGAAGCACGGAACGGGTGCCGTCTGTACCGGAACAGCGCACTATCTGTACCCGAACAGGTGCGTCTATGTAGGTGGAATAGGCATACTACCAAACTGAACTGCCGCATGCGAGAGATGGCTAGTCAACCAGGACTCGTGAGTCTGCGGTGTTTTAATACAGGATCACATGCAAGAGCCCGGTCACCGGCACAGATTGACTGTCAACCAGTCCGTGATATGACCCCTGCTGTAGCTAGCTCACGTTCGGGCCCTGCTCGGCGCACTTGCCGAGGCCAATGACGAGACCGACTTTTACGTCGGTCCTTCTCCGCCGCGCCAACCGAGTTAATAAAATACCTTTCACCATTGTTTTCATACATAATCCTATTATTTGACTCATGTGCCGTACACACTTTGCCTCTGTTGCCGCTCAGCCGTTTCAAGCGTCACAGGCACTAAATGAAGAGCTCTTTGCTAATTGACGGTGAACTGGGCTGGTGCGCGATAGGCACTGGTGCACACAATGCACTTTAGTTTTTAGGGTATTTCTATTACTTTGCTCAAAAGCAATGGCCATTTGTGACCCAGACAAACATACAGTGATCATAGAACAGGAGACATGAGAACAGCACGAAAACATAGCGTAGGAGAAAAGTGCATAGATGCGGTTTGATACTGTTAATGATAATGATACAGATATGGGCATTCAAAGTCCATTCAAGCCTTCCAACGCATGTAACACTCTCCTATACACACCAAGGTATAAGATAGGTTTCGATCTGCCCCAGACAGAACAGGACCTAGGCCGAGAGCCGAGAGGAAAACTAGGGCAAAATAGGCACATGTGTAGCTAAAACTCCACACTCCCTGTATGTTTTGTTATTTTATACTATGAAGTATGTCAAAGGAACCTCTAACTGTCATTTGAAGTTGTTAAACTAGACGTCTGAAACAAATTATTATGGGCAATTAAGAAAAACAAACGCTATTGAGTGAGTAAGATCAGCATCAGACACCACAAACTGTGTTAAAACGCCATGCCGACGCTAGCGCCACCTACAGTTCTAGATGTCGCTAGTAGGTTATCCCATAGGAGCCCGTGTTACGGCGAAATGGTCTCAAAGAAGTGGGCGCGGACCAGAGAATACTGACCGCAGGACACCGATTTTGTGTTTTTCTTACTTACAAGAATATAGCGCCACTTTATCTGACAGTTTCCTCTCAATCTGGAATAAAAACCCTCAAATCGATACACTCGAGCGCCCATGCATTGCATGGGCGCTAGAATAAGTGACAAGTTATCCATTAATTGGCCCTGGATTTGGATAAATAACATGTTGATGATCATTGATCATATTAGCACACATTTACATTATTATCTATCTCAAGGTTGCCCTTCAGGCGGCTCTAAACTATGGCAATTTCCCTATCTTCAACATGTAAATGCCCTCGAGCGTCCTCGTGGTGACGTAGGCATGGGAGTGCCAGGTTGGTAGGAACTAGACTTCGACGCCCCCTGGTAAACCCTATGGGCTGGTAGGAAATGTAGGTACGCCGTGGAGCAGTAGTGCTACCTACTACCTTCGTCGGGGGCTGGTCCATACAGGGTATATTGAGTGAAGTCCATATACGAAGGCTGGAAGGCATGCATGCATCTTATCAGTCTTGCTGTGCACCTAATTATCTAACTGCTAACTGCTTCCTCAGGAAGGTATGGGTTCGGGCGGACCGTCCCATGTATCGAAGCGTCTGCACAACAACCTGCTAGACCACGGGATCTCCACAAGCTAGACGGGCGCGCTGACGCGCGAGTTGGTCGCGGTGGACGGGACGACCGTGTACCGTGTCTTCCATCACATCTGTCTGCAGACCCCTGTCGAGGTAAGTCCGCGCTAGACTTCACTTCCTGACCAGTACTAAAGGCGCAGTTACACTAACGTGAAACAGTCAGGTGCCTCAATCCTCACCGGTATAAATCAATTAGGAAAATATGGAAACTGTCACTTTGGAGCCGAAAGCATACTCACATTTAGGTCGAAAGGTGTCTAAATGTATCACATTTGATAAAGTTCCTTGAAACTTCTTGTTAGAAAATTGTTAT